CTTGATTCGCCACTACTTTGGTATCCATCATGACTGGCTTGCCTAAATTGAGTTCTGCCCCGCATCATATGCAACTCTCCACTCTTCCTATCCTTTTTTCAGCCCTCATTTCCATCTTCTTACTCCTAAGAGAATCTACGACAATTTCAGGTGTTAACGTGTCCCTACCATACTTAATGGCATTTTTAACTACTTTATAAGAGTCCAGGATTGAATTGAGCAAGATAATGGCCTTATAGGTTTCAGACACGGTTTCGTCACAATTGACAATATCTTGCACCAATTTGTTAAATACATCTAAATTGTCGTCAAGATCCTTTGAAGGATCCATTTTAAAGCTGAAGAATCGTTCGAGTAGGTAGAGTTTATTCGGTGTAGATTGAAGCAAGTATAAGTCTTCTAGTCTTTTCCAAAGTTCTTTGGTGGTTTTTAGTTTTCCCACTTTTCTTAAGACAGCGTCAGACAAGTGTAATATTATTGAGGTATAGGCAAGCTCTTCGGCTTCCTCTTTTTGTTCTTTTGAGATGTCAGGTGCAAAATTGCCTTCGATGGCTTTTGACACCTTTTGTTGGACTAGTATGCCTCTCATCTTTTGTTGCCAGATAGAGAAGTCCCCTTTACCGTTAAAAATTTCCAAATCAAAATTATGTGTTGTCATTGGTTAACACACTAATTAAACCACACGAAGTAGTATTGGGAAGCGTGATAAGGTAATATCTTGTTAATTCTTAGCAAAAGTAACAATGAACCTAAACGCTACGTCCACCAAGAAATACCAAGCACTTTAAATCAAAAGAACAAGCACTCAATTAATGCAAGTAATCCTAGTTCTAGAACAAGCAATGGTTACCCCTTCACGGTAACCCCAAAACCTAACGATCACCCCACACGATGATCTTCCTATTGCTGAATTTAAATAGATTAAGTCAATTTACCAGCGCGGACCTATCTGAGTCCGTAGAGTGGAGAAAAACGAGCTTGCTGTTGAATTTCAGTCGGCGTCGCACCAGGGGCAAAATCGTCCAACTTTTTCTGTGTAACCTGAAACATAAAACAAAGTATATCAGTGCATTTAGGAGATCGAAACAAGCAAGTTACCTGAAGACAGCGTCGCCGGACAGCCGCCCACGCGCCGCCGCCGTCAGCCCACGCGCCGCCTCTCCGGGAGCGCCTCGACTTGCTGGTGATGGGTATGGCCTCCTTTTGTCCAACCGAGCTTTGGTTTGTGAGTAATTGAAAATTTTCAGATTCGGGTTCTAAGGTTCATGTCCGAAAATCAGCCAATTTTGAGCCAATTTTTGCTACCCAAGCTCTGATACCAGATGTTAGGATCTTTCTCAAGCTGCTCAAAGTGATTTTCGGGCTCAGTTAACCATTAATCATCGAATTCAATCACCAAAACCGAGATGACCGACCGTCGGTGCTACCTTCTTCCTATGGTTGCTATTGTTCTTTTGCTTGTTGATTCTACCACACACTTAGGATGGATACCACACAGGTAAGAGTCACAAAGTCTTAAGCAATTGGTAGGGAAGATAACTTGGCAGGAAGCATGAAGAAGAAGAAGAATAATAATAATAATGCCTCTCTCTCGAGTTCTCACGCACGGCTCAAAAAGGAGAAGGAGTCAATTGCCAATATATATTAGTTCAATGGCCAACTTAAGGTAAGTCACAATATGGTAAGTAGGCTCGACTAGGGTTAAGTCCCAATAGAAAACAACAAGCCACAAAGATTAATAGCCATCCAATAGGTAAAGCAACGCTAGGTCGGTTCATCCATTATTCGGTGTTGATTTATCGTTCAGTCATTCATGTCGACTGATAAAATTGGTTTTCATCATCGCCCGGGAGGTCATTTGACAATATGATGTCTAACAGTTATAACATTGACTGTTGGAGGCTAATCAATAGCTACCACACAACTATCTTTCCCAAAAAAAATCTCACAAAAATAAAAACTCAGGAAAAATTTTTATTGCTATCAATCAATGCGGCCACAAAGAGCTTATAATACTTTATATAGCTAAAATCCTAGGAAAACTCCAAAAAAATAATTAATAATTAAAAAGATTTTTTTTTTCCAAAAATGAAAAAAAATGAGATAATGACTAAAATTGAAAGTCCTAATCTTAATGGTTATTCTCCAACAAATAGAATTCAAATCCAACTCAAATTGATTGAGACATAACTAAAACAAAAATTACCAAAAAAGGAAAAAAAACGCATAAATGAAGGCCTAAACAAAAGAATTTGCCCGAAATTGGCCCTACATCACGAGCAGAGCTACTGAGTTTTGTTCATTGGCCCGTTTCTAATTGAAGTTCACTAAAATTTCGTCAAAAACAGATAGCCCCTTAATTTCTCTAAAAATCTAAAATTGCCTATTTCTATTTGTGCCGGTCCCACTTTTTGATAAAGTCTAATTCCTTCTGCATGACATCAACATTATTTTAGAAGATAAAAAAAATTAATATTATTTTTTTCAATTTAAAAATTTATTGTTAGCCATAAAATTTTTTGTGTCCAAGACATTTGACACATTTTCACAATTCACATAACATTTTTTTTTTCTATTTACCCACTCTTCACTAGTTTTATTGTTATACAAATGGTTTTTACGTTTTCTGAATTTTAAAATAATCTTTTATTTCTTAATTTCGTCGCTGCTAAATTCGCTAGTCAGTAAATGTATTGTTGAATTTTATTTCATCAAAGCTGACTAATAATTTCTTGGCTAGTAAATATTAAGGTGCCGAAGTCTCAACAAAAAAAGGTTGGCCAAAAGTAAGAGCTTCATCGACTTTTTCATTCGGCCGGCAAATGTGTCACATTTAGGCAAACTACTATATTATATTAGTCGGCAAATTATTGTTTTCAGTGGCTAATGTTATATTGGTAGGGAAAAATTGGTCGGTAAAAACCGACTAGTTTTCGATTGGTCGAGGAAAACTGGTTGGCAAAGGTATCACCAACTAAAAAATTTTCTTATTGAGTAAAAAATTATCTTTTGGTCGAGAAAATCTAGTCAATAAAGCCACTGTTTCTTGTAGTGTAAGATGCTAATCAAGTTAGTCAAATTTTTAGGGAAGTGACACTATCATCGACCATACTATCTCTTCTCATCACTGAAAATATATACTAATGATTTTGGCATTTGATCTCTCGCTTCCATTTACAAAGCCACGTCTAGTTGCTAGACTAAATGAGAGTTTGAAAAAGTTCTTTCCATAATCACTGCAATGAAAAATCTCAACTAGAACTCGGGCCTAACAAACTGAATAAATCATTGAAAACTTTAATTAAGTGTGAATTTTTGATCAAATTTTATACTTCTATTTACTAATTTATGAATGTCGAAGTGATTTTGGATCTTCTTGGCGTGTGTCAAGCAATTGGGGGCACAGTGTGGGGTTGATGCTGGATTTTCTATGCAGGCAGGAACAGCGATCGCCAGGCTATCAACCCTATCCTTCTCCGTCCCAAATATCAAAGTTGAGTGCTCTGCCATCTCTCTTGAATTCTCTGTGTTTTTCTCAATTCGATCTGGGGATTTGTTGCTGTCTTTTAAAAAAACTATTTGATGAAAACCATATATTAGCTAGTTTGCCCAAGAGGTTAAGGGGGAAGACTTAAGATCGTTTGCACATAAGCACACATGGGTTCGAACTCCATGGCCAGCAGTTTTGCATTGTTTTGTTGATTTTCTATAATAAAATAATTCTTGAAAGAAAACATGAAAAATTATAGTGAAACTAATTTTCATAAAAGTGTAGTTATATTTATATTTTCCACTTTCTTAGTGGTGTTGAATAATGGTAGCAAGTACCCACAATTCATTAATGAAATCAAATATCATGTAGATATAAAAAGATACAAGTTGTTAATTTATTATATTCTTATAAAAATATTCCCCTTTTTGCGATCAGTTACAGAATCATTAGAAATAACTCCAGAACACTTTGCAAGAAGCTTCCCAAAAAGTTGGCTATTCCGAGCATACATAGAGGAGTTCATGCTTTGTAATTGAGTGCCTAAAGAAATCTTTTTGGTCAAATTATTGTAAGATAAGTCCAAAACGCTGAGAAAATTTAGATTTACAATTATGTTTGTTATCTCCTTGAAAGCTATTTTCGAGACAACTCAGGGTATTCCAACATATATTTGACCAATGGTTTAAATGATATTTTTCATCAGATAATTTCTAGGTAGGTTCAAGAAAACTAAACCTCTTATAGCAGAAAACTAATGAGAATAGTTTCAATTGACTTATTTTCAGAAACGTCAATGCCTTTCAGATGTCCTAGTCCTAGTCTTATGCATTCTAAATCTTATCCTTTCCATTGAACAAAAGCACTGTTAACATGAACGTTTCTTTAGGTCAAAAAATTTTTTTTAGCAAGGAATACACAGTTTAACGACGACTATATTTCATATCTAATTATGGAGGTGATTGAAATGAAGGTAGTTATCTGTGGATTAATCACAATTCACTTGCCCATTTTCTTTTATGTGTGGTTCAGTAGGAATGCACTAATTTTTAGAAAGATCACCCAATCTGCGACAATGCATCTAAAAAACATTATGACTTGTTTTAAAGATTTATTTAAAAAAAAAAAAATTTGAGTTCACCATGCAGTTCTTCGTATATTTAGAAGTGGTTCACATCAAAGCCTTTCTCATCGAATTCACCATTGTCTAAAGTGGATGGTAAGAAGTTACAATCCCTTCTCGAATTGAAGCAAATAAAAAATTTTGAGATAAGTGGTTCAACATAGTATGATGGTAGACAAAGATTACAAACTCAAGTTCGTCGTTATACGTCTATGAGTGCTTATAAGTGATTATAAGCTATGAGTTCTAAAAAATGTGTGAATTAAAAATGAGTAATAATTTTGGATTCTACGAAATATGTAAATGAAAGTATGATTTATTAGCTTAAATTATAATTTAAGTCTTGCCAAACATGAACAAAAATTGTCCATGTGTCATGCTATGAAGAATGAATTCGGCTTATATGTGGGCATGCTGGAAACTAAATTGAAGTAAATAAAGTAACTAAGAAAAATGAGGAACGATAAGAATAGAAAAATCTTTTAGATCAATCTTCTCAAGGACCATGATGTCTACCCTTTAAATGCTTGTATTCCATTTTTGTTTTTCCCTTCTCCCACTATACCAAAAATTATCATTTGCAACACATAAAAGACAACATTTGGTAGTTAAGTGTTGCTAAAGGGGTCTACCGCAACATTTTAATAAGTGAATGTTGCCATTAGTTAATATAATTTAGCTTTGGCAACATTTTGTAAGTGGATGTTGCTAATGTTGCCTTTTGCAACGTTTAATGAATGTCGTGAAATGTTTTATTTTTTGCAACGTTTATTAAACGTTGCTAAAAGTTAATTTTATTACAACGTTTATTAAAAGTTGCTGTAACCCGCCTTTTGCAATGCGAAACGGCCGTTGTAGAAAGTTACCATTTTACAATGTTCATTGAAGGTTGCGAAAACATTAAGTGGATTTTACTTTTTGCAACACTTCATAAATGTTGCAAAAGGACATGTTTCGCAACATTTAATGAACGTTGCAAAAAGTAAAATATTTTTGAACTTTTTAGATTTTACTTTTTGCAACGTTTAGTAAACGTTGCTAAAGCATTCCACATCGCCCAATCCGCTTAGTTTAAACGGAAAAAAAATAATAAAATCCTCATTTTCAATCAAAAGCCAACATCCGTAACCTATTTTCCATGTCCCTCTGAGACTCACAGCCCCGGCACTCTACTCTCCACGGCGCCGTTAGGAGTGGGCAAAACCCAAACCAAACCAAGAAAACCGACCCAAACTGACCGGTTTGGGTCTGTTTTTTGCTATGTTTTGGTGGGTTTCGGTTATTGGGTTGAGTGGTCGGTGGTCGGGTCGGGTCGCAATTTCCTTCAATCAGAACAAATGCCCTCACAGTTAACTATAACTCCACGATCTTGTAAGTGCATATTACTCTTCCTATATATGTATTTTCATTACGTGTTTTGTTCCATTTCTGATTTTTGTGGTCTTTCCACTATGTAGTGTTTTTTCCAGCAGAAGCCTGTGAAACAATTGACGGAGTCAATTTTCTCTCAAATTGCCGATGACAATCTTCATTTTCCAGTTGCCGATCATCGGACATCCACCCTCCAGTACTAGACTGCAGGAGTAAGTTAATAATGGGGTTGATGTTGGTTTTAATTGAATAAGCCCTAACCTGTCACATGTAGGTTGATATTTACAGATTTTTCCCGTGAACTGTATTGGTTTATATAACTGGGGCTTATGATAATTAACAAGCTGCTTTCACATTTAGGAGAAAAAGTTCTCTATATTCTCGTCTCCTCCAACATCCAGTCTCACATAGGTAGGAACTTTGTGAGTGGTTTACAAGGATATTAGGTAGCTTTAGCTATTGTCCAATTTCATGTTTCTGAAGGTAGTAATCTTCTCTGTGTTGTCTTGGTTGGTGGTAACCACTCAGATGATTCCAGGCTCATAGATAGGTCATGAATGGGCTGCAAAGATGATATCATGCATCATTATTCAAAAAAAAAAAAAAAAAAAAAAAAAAAAGAGGAATTAGTCAGATGTGGTGGGGGTAACGTGAGCATCCTAATGAGAACTATTCAAACTATTAGTTGCCGAGATGTTCTGTTTCCTATTTGTGAGCTGCAAGTTGCCTTGTTCGTCCCTTCTGCTATTGCTTGCTGGTCGCTGGTAATAAGAAAGTAACAACTTGAGGATTTTTGACCTTTTTCCCCTTCCTGTTTTGGCCTTAGAAAATATAAATTCAAAAATTTTCGCAAGGGATAAGGCCATGTAAAGAGAATCAAATAACTATTTGTTTTTAATATTAAGAATCAAAGGAACGTGTTAGACTTACCTGTGTAACGCACCGAATTCTTGGAATCTGAAGCGTTAAAAATAATCGATCTTTCTTTGATTCAACCCCTTTGATGTTAACCAAAATAATTTGTAAATTAGACAGTTTTTGGGTTTTGAAACATATAAAAATATAATGGGAGGTAGTTATTCATATAAACTTATAAAATTGTGGCGAAATTTGGTTTTGGAAAACATTTGGAGGCATTTCAACAATTCAGATTGAACAACAGCGGAAGAAAAATATATTTGGCCTAGCAAATATCTATTAAAAATTATGAAATTTTTACATGGACTAAAGCATTCATATATGTATCACATATAAAGATTTGGGGGCTTGATGATAACGCTTGAAGCCCGAAAATATTGCTCGAATATGCTGGACAGAAAACTCGGATTCGAAACGACGCAGTTTACCAAAATGGACATCACTTTTTCTCTATATAATATTTTAAGAAAATTCCAAAGGATACTATTAGAAGACTCGTAGACCTTCAAATACCACTGATTTCACTCTAAAATATGCAACGTAGCCCAAATTATACCATTTTCAAATGGAAGACAGAATTTAAATTTATAGTCGGCAGTAAATACACTTCGGCCATAGTCGTTCCAACATTTCCAAATTATGGTTGACATGAAATGCATATAAAACTGAACGAATCAGATGTTTAAACATTTTAAAAGTTCCAGTTATTCATAATACGTTTACACAAATTGGAAATTTTACTAGAAAGTTGAAAGCCTTTCAAATCGCCGAGCACTTGCCACTATGCCAAACTGCCGCCATGCCTTGAATCAACCAGTGAGATTATAGTGGGTGTGAGTACTAGAAGTAATACTTAGTAGGAAGACACTAGAGTAAATGATAAAATACATATATGTTTTCAATAATGCAAATTTTGATTATTTGTGTCACCATCAATCTCTTCCTCTTATTTGAATCACCAAACGGTGCCTCCTTCATGAGTAACACCATAATAGTGTCACCTTAAATTTCAAGCGAATTGATGATCAATCAGTCCGCTTACTTGTAGGTTTTGATAACCCCATTTCATTTATCATAATTATCTCTTTATATCTCATGTAAACCACCAAACGATGATTCCATCATCAGTAACATAATAACAAATTTAATGCAAATGAAAACATATAAATCTTACATCACATACAAAAGCACCAAAACACCCATACCTTAATGCTTGAAGTTTGAATATCCTTTTTGCATTCAATATATTGAACTAAAATGCAGCGTACTTCTTTGCCTCTTCTTCGCCTCTTCTTCAAATAAATTTTCAGATTCAAGGTACTTTAGTTTGTGTGAAAATGGACAAAATAATTTTATGTATATGTATAATAGTTTGGGAGAAAAATGTGGCTAAAGGAATTGAAATTTGGTTTTCAAAATAAGCCTATGACTTTTAAATTCTAATGGGATGGGTTTTCTCTTAAACCTCCATTGAAGTGGTATTGGTAATGCATTTAAAAAAAATGGAGTTATAATGATATGTAAGTGGGGGTTTTAAAACATGGGTTACAATTGAAAGTGGGGAGGTTATAGAATTTTTAATTACCTAAATGGCAGTTTCCCTTTTCTTTTGTCTTACTAACATAGTGGCTTCAAATGGGGATGGTTATGGTTTTAATTTCAAATGGAGGTGGTGTTGTAATTTGATTTATTTTTTTTAAATGGCAGTTTATGGATCAAAATGGCAGGGTGCTAATTAACATTTTTCAGATACTAAATGAAATGGATTCGCAATAACAAATATAAAAAAGGCCCTGGCAGTTAACAAAAGTGGGGTTAAACAATGGTAGTGAACTGTTAATTAGGTGCATAAATGTGGGTATAAAAGTGTAGATTGACATTTCAAGAAAACTGTGGCAGTTTACCTAATGGAAATCAAAGTGGTATTTGGAAAAATTAATGTTTATCAATAGCAATATGAAGGTGGGTCCGCAGTTGACTGAAATTGGGATTTAAAATGGTTAGTGATGGGGGATGGTTATGCACTTAGTGGGTGAGTGGCATATTTAAGTGGGGTGCCTAAGGAAAAAATTTCAGCTTGATAGGTTGAGAGAAAAAAATAAATAAAAAATAAAATTGACGTGGCTAAAAAAATGGGAGTCATTGGAAGGACAAAACCATGTTAAGGGTTGTTTGGCATAAACAATAAGTGTATAAAAACTTAAATGTTTAAAGACTTAATATAGGTAGCAATTTATATAAAGTGTCATCAAAATAATGTAACAAACAAAAATTTGTCGAAATTTGTCGTCTAAATGAGATTTTAATCCCTTACAAAATTTTAAAAAAAACAAAGTACGCAAAACTTTACTATCGTGACCAAAGCTTTAATTCAAACTCTTAAGGAAGTGTCGTAGCAACGCAATAATATAACCCAAATTATATTTAAGTTCTATAAGAAAATTTTTATTTTTTGAAACGAAACAAAACATTTTTTTTTTCCGGTCGCTGCAACCTAAGCATATATCATATAAGTGTACAACCAACTCACAAAGGCAGCGTCGGACTGACTCAAGATTTCAAAAGAAAAAAAAAGGTTTTTTGAACTTTTAAAAGAATAAAAACCAACAGTTAGATTGTCCAAATTTGAATTTCATAAAATAAATTGATACAGTCTAACAATAAAATTGTATATATTATGAAGTAATAATTTGAATCAATAAATTTTTTAAAGAAATTATTTCAAAAATGAAAACTAATAATATATAATTGTTTAGTCATTGTTTATTGTATTAAAAAAATTATACAAAAAATGGGAGTACATGGATTTGAACACCATACCTCTCACATACAAAGTGACCCCTCTATTGAAGGTTTGTACAATTATGAGTTAATATTTAGTTATTATTTTACTGTGTTTAAAAATTAAGAGGAAGATTAGTGTTGAAAGGAATTGAACCAGTGTTTCGTTGCTCGGAAAAGTGAACGCCCATCAATATAATCTGCACACCATTTCGTTCAATGCTCAAGCAATAATATATACATGTTGATGTTTGGAGGTGATAAAGAAAACTCGCACGATGTATTGACCCAGACTTATGGAGTGAGAAACAAAGAATGAGTTGTCTATTGTATATTCTTCTTGAATTTATGCAAAACAAATAGGATGTTGACTTCAGAGAACGACTTTGTGTGGCCGAGCTATTTCTTGGAAATATAGATTGTTTGCAACAGTCAAGTGGGTCCCATTTTGTTTCTTTAATGTAAAATACATGAGTTTTGCTACTCAAACAGTGTGAACGATAGGGGTTAAAAATGAGGGGACACGTGTTAAATTTTCATTGGACAATTTTTTTTAAAAAAATAGGGCATTGACTTCAAAAAACGACTGTGTGGCTGAGCTATTTCTTGGAAATATCGATTGTTTGCGACAGTCAAGTGGGTCCTGTTTTGTTTCTTTAATGTAAAATACATGAGTTTTGCTACTCAAACAGGGTGAGTGACGGGTTAAAAATGGGGGGCCACGTATTAAATTTTCATTGGACAATTTAACAATAAAAAAAATTGAGTAACAGAAGCACTGTCAACGTAGCACCTGTCAAAAGCCTATCACCTAACCCTGTTCAAGGAGCATTATTCAAAATAAATGACCATTTCTAACATTAGACAGACTGAAATAGAAGTCAACATTGGTGGCTTTTGTAAAAATATCCATTTCGCAATTCTACTTTTAGTGTGACGTGTGAAACGTGTGGATGACAGAATTGACGATTTAAAGGAAATGATTATTTACCAAACTTTCCCTACTCAAACGTTCATATAGTAGGTCATTAATATTATATTGAAAAAAATGCCAAGAAAATCTATCCAAATCTCGGAAATTTGTCCAAAAAAGCCATTCCAAGTAGGGGGGAGGGGTGTGGGGGTTAATACATTGACTTCATAGATGGACATAGATCCAAGTCAACTATGTCAAGTTGTAATTTCATCATATACACAATTTTTTTTTAGTATGGTTTTTGAAAGAAATTTGATCAACACATAGATGCAACTTGACAGATGATGAATTGATGATGATGCCTGAGGGTGTACGATGCACCGAGTCTATCCCGCTTGTGAGCTCTAATTGACTAGGAGGTGTCTATGATTGTTCCAAGTGATCAGAAAGGACAAAATCAACCAAAGCAATGGAGTTACCATGTGAAAGAATTCATATTGGTCTGTTTTTATTAGTAATGACTTCTGAGGGCTTAAATTGAAGAAACAGTGGCTGCAACTGGCTACGAGTTACTGCACGGATATATTACAACTATGAATAAAGAATTAGTTTTAGTGACGATTTTATCGAAAAGTTTAATCTATCATTGGCAAATATTAATCTTTGATCTTGCATAGAATTATTTGATTTCCTTCGATATATTTTCTTTCGCTATGAAGATTGATATCTATTACTAACTACCAATTGTTTTTATGTTGATCATAAATTTTGATGTGTTGGATTAAATAGTCCTCGAAAATCAATATTGAATCAATATGTGACTTTTGCAGCTACTATAATCATAAAACTGCACAAAACTTGACATAGTTTGTGTTAATCAAATTCACACGTTCGAGTCGGTGGTTATATCGTTACAGTTTGTGTGATTTTGATGCGCATATGAAGTGTACAAAGAGTTATATACAGAACCAACAACCTCAAAAGATCAAATCCAGGAGTGTTCAGCCCAAAATTTAACATTCTTTTTGTACCCTTAAGGAAATGGCTTTTGAGGGGTCCCTCTATTATACTATACATTTATCCCTTGATTAAGGATCGACTCAATATTTGGTATATAGAGTATTCCGTATTATGTATTAAGTTGTCTACCATTTGTACTACTTAAAAGTATTTTAGAGACCAATTTTAAGTGGACATAAGCCTCCATTGTGAGAAAACAACTATAGTTGCGTGTTTACTCTGTAAGGAACATACAATTTTAAGCAGCATTATCTATATATTGTCATTAGCACCTCTGCAGTCAAGGCTAAGTGATAAATAAATTTAGATTTCAAAATGTTGTTCTTTGTATTTTTCCCTAAAGCATTAGTGGACTCTCACTATTTTATTATCATACAATCAAATATTTCCAACATATAGTGGAGTTTAAGATTTATTTTTTACTTAATTGCATTATGCACTAACGAATCTAGAAAGTGGCTTGAGTTTTTTAGTACATAGAAATTAAATAAGTCATATACTTGACTAAAAAAAGCTAAACTAACTAATTAATCAAGCGATATACTATCTCCATTAAAATTTATTTTTACATCAATGATTAAACACAACAAAGCCAGTTATTTGTATGGATTGAGATCTTACGAATTGATATTATTTTTAAAAATACTTAGAAAATAAGACAATGGTGATAACTAGAATAGAAATAGTAACATTGCCATGCATAGTCCCTGCACCTCTCTAGCCAACATATTGTTTGAATGATAGTCAACACTTTCTTGTTTCCCAGAAGGGGCTCCTGATTTCAATATCAAACCAAGTCAAGATTTGGATATATAACAACCAAATTGATCAAGTAAATTAAATGTTTACCTTTACGTCTGAAATTTTCTCTTGAATCTTGTCACATAGATTGTTGTTGTCACGTACATCCAGTTTCCAACATTATCCCAAAAGTTGAAGTAGGAATATCTCCAAGAATGCTTGAGGTATAGAGTTATAACAACTACCCAGAATCCAGTAATGAAACCAAATGCCATGCAAATGTAAATATCGTAAGTCAAAAACACATCATCTTCTTCAAAAATATTTCCCTTTCCGTGATCAGTCACAGAACTATTAAAAATATCTTCAGGACACTCCGTCAGAGGCTTTCCACAGAGTTGGCTATTACCAGCATATACAGAAGAGTTGAAGCTTTGTAGTTGAGTGCCCAAAGGAATCTTTCCTGTCAAATTATTGTATGATAAATCCAAAACACTGAGAAAATTTACATGTGCAAGGCTATTCGGTATCTTCCCTGAAAGCTGGTTTCGAGACAAGTCAAGACATTCTAACGTCTCCCTTTGACCAATGTTTGAAATGATATTTCCAGTCAAATGATTTCTAGATAAGTTCAAGAAAACTAAACCCCTTAAAGCAGAAAACTCTTGAGGAATAGGTCCAAAAAGCTTATTTCCAGAAAGATCAATGCCTTTCAGAAGTCCTAGTGTTTTATATTCTGAATCTTGTCCTTTCCATTGAACAAAAGCATTGTTAACATACAATCCAAGATTGTGAAATAACTGATGTCCCAAAGAATCTGTGTTTTCAATTGAACTGTTCTTCTGAACCAAAGCAGTAATATTGTTTAAACACTGTGATATTCTTCCTAAAATATTGTTTCTAGAGAGGTCCAAGACATGGATACTGGTAAGGCGGCAAATTGTTGAAGGCATGATTCCATCAAATTCATTAAGTCGAAGGCTAAGAACTGTCAAACTTGTTAAATGTGTTCCTATCCATGCTGGAATATTACCTGTTAACTTGTTTTCTCCCACATCAAGCGTTCTTAGTCTCGTGCAATTCTTCAAAGTTGAAGGCAATTCACCAATGAAATTATTGTTGCGCAAGTGTAATATTTCAAGCTGATCCAAACTGCCCAAAGTGAGGGGAATTTTACCTAAGAACTTATTATTTGCCAAATCTAGAACAGCTAATTCACTCATGTTGATCCAGCAATTAGGAAGCTCTCCTTCCAATTGGTTATCAGAGAGGTCAAGCATGAGGATGATGAAGGCCTCAGGAATTGTGCATAAGTGAAAAATGGATCCCGAAAACATATTATTGGAAAATTTTAATTCTCCAGAATGAAAAAGAAATAATGGAATTGGACCTGAAAATTTGTTATAACTTAAATCTACAATTTCACGAACAATTGAGTTTGAGGACAAATTAGAAATTTTACCACTAATATTGTTATGAGAAAGATCTAAGTATATTAAAGAAGACATATTCCACAACCAATTAGGTAATACATCTGATATACCAGCAAAAGAGAGATCAAGCTCTATAAGAGTACTCTGAGTTTGAATCCAATTTGGAAAATGAGGCCCCAAATAGCAATGGCCGAGCAGTATTGTGTGCAATTGAAAATGAGGAATCCAATTTGAGCTCAAGTTGAAAGCCTAGGAGTTGAAGGATAAATCCAGGAATTGTAAGTTGGCTAAGTTTGAGAGGTACCATTCAGCGATTGTACCTTCCAACAAATTTGAAGACATTCCTAAATATTCAAGCTTGGAAAGTTTCTCAATACCATCGGGTAGCCTTCTAAATTGGTTGTAAGATAACTCTAAACTTTGAAGACTTGAAGGTAGCCCAAGGCTCTGTGGGTGAAACCCATTTAACAAATTTGAAGACATTCCAAAAGATGTGAGCTTGGAAAGTTTCTCAATACCTTCGGGTAGCCTTCTAAATTGGTTGCAAGATAACTCTAACATTTCAAGACTTGAAGGTAGCCCAAGGCTTTGTGGGTGAAACCCATTCAGCTTATTGTTGTTAAGGATCAAATTTCTTAAGGATGAAATTTTGGTAAAATTTGGCAAGGGACCGTTTAATTCATTGTATGACATGTCTAGTGAATATAAATGACTTAAATTCCCCAAAGATTTTGGAATCATCCCTCGGAACACATTGTAACTCAAAACAAGTTCCTGAAGAAAGATCAATTCCCCATCGGCATCAGGAATAGGACCCTTTATTCGATTATAGGAGAGGTCTATGCTAGTAAGACTTGCACTAGAGTTAAACAACCAGTGGAATGCAAAAGAGGAAGTGAGATCATTGAAGGATAAATCAAGGATAGACAGATAGGGTAAAGAAGAATTAGTAAAGATATCGAAGGAAGGTACTGTGCTGGGAAGTTGACAGGATGACAAATATAGTTCCTCAAGGAAAGGTAACCTTGTTATGTGTTGCAACCAGCTGGTTTGATTCATAAGGTTCACAAAACTCAAGTCAATATATGACAAAAAAGAAAGATGAGAAAGCCACTCAAGGTTCTTGATTCTCAAATTGTTAAAACCAAGGTCAAGAGTATGCAGGTTTGTAAGGTTCCCAAGTTCACAAGGAACTTCACCAAAGAAGTTTGAGTGTAAAAGTTTCAAGTACCTTAATTTCTTGAAGGAACCCAAGAATCTTGGTACTTTACTTCCTCCAAATCATTATGACTCAGGTCCAAATAATTCAAATGCTGCAACTCAAGCAGTACGAGGCTAAGCTTAGCAGCCTTCAGATAAAAATAATCAACCGACTGAGATACATTTAGATCAAGTAAAACTACGTGACCAGTTCCCTTGCTACACGAGATACCCTTCCATTTGCAACATTCCTTTTTAACTTCTTCACTTCCCCAAGATGAGAGGATGCCATAGTCATCAACAAGGTCATGCTTAAACTTGAGAAGAGCTTGTCTTTCCCTGTCTATGCACCTAACTTCAGCCGCAGATACTGAAGTAAGTTTCATGCATAGTGAAAGTACAAACATCAGTACACTCAGTATTTTGATGAATCTGTTAACCCCCATAATTTTTTCTGATATCATGTTTATAGTAATTGAAAAAGATTGAAGTTTTTCAAGCTCATGCAATCATATTATATATGAAGCACAAGTAGAGGATGTATGTCCCACAATGAAGTAGATTCCACTGTAATTTCTTATAGCGTGCATAATGGGCTATAACATTAGTCTTCATAAACTTCTATTCATGGGGCCTCAATTACACCACAATGTCACTGTAATCGTGGATGCGTTAAAGATTGAAATTTTTGATTGTTTAAGTTGAATCTTACCCATAATTATTTTCAATAAGAGATTGATTATTGTTATTATGACATTAACTACTACAAAGAAGTGAAGTGAAATTGTCTAGTTTATGTAATCTACATCACACAATCCAAAATGATAACACTTTCAAAATAAATATTGCACACGAATTAATGAAAAAAACTTTTAACACAAAATATGAAAAATATAATTATTTGAAATATTCAATTCGACGATACCAACAAAAGAGATATCGTGATGCTATATTATAAGTTTTAATCTATTTCGAAAAAACATGGTACATATTGCAAGAGCAAAGGTATATATTTCCTCATTGAAGTTTTTGAGTTACCAAGCAAATTTGAACAAAAAATGGTTCAAGTGAAAACCCAAATTTCTTTTAGACACTAACATAACTAGTTGTAAAACATTGTTCGTCACTCAACTTACACAAAATTTCATGTTGGTCCTCAAACTTTATTTTGTTTTGAAAAAGTCATTAAGTTTGACCGCTCAATTAAATTGCATTAAGTATTCTAACAGAATGTATAATGCATTATTGCTCCACGTTAGATTGCTATCTACCACGTCAGGCATTCTACTAGAAAACAATTAAAATTTAAACAAAGAACTTTAAAAAAAAAAAATTGAAACCCATTCAAATTTTTGAATAAGCTTAACATCCTTGCTCTAATATGTTGTGGCCTGTGGGTTTTGCATTGACCCTTACCTCAATTTTACTACTACATTTTTTATATGTTGGGGGGCATTACATTGATCCTTACCTCAATTTTACTGCTACATTTTTTTGAAAAGAAATTTTATTTATTTGATTTGT